AAAACATTGATGAGGTCACCCCTCAGTCTCCTTTTCTCCAAGCTAAAGAGACCCAGCTCCCTCAGCCTTTCCTCATAAGGGAGATGTTCCACTCCCTTCATCATCTTTGTGGCTCTGCGCTGGGCTCTTGAAAGCAGTTCCCTGTCCTTCTTGAACCGAGGGGCAACCCTTAAGTTCTGCCCCTCATCAAAACATGCTACTTGTTCTACTAAATAATCGATAAGTATAAATGCTTCTACACAGAAATGATGCTGTATGCCAGACTTTATTCATAGCATATAAAACCAGTTGTCCTAAGTTTGAATGCTGGTGCTCTCTGACATGGGTCTTGAACTCTACAAGATGCAAGGCTATAGGAAAGATATCTCTTCTACCTTACGAAAAAACAGATATGGATACAGGGAACCATATAGGACTTTTACTGAGAAGTATTTAGGAGCAGCATCACAAAACGCATCTCAGTTACCCGTTATCGTTATCACTCTCATTCAGTTTAAAGATCAATCATGTCAGCCCAAGCCACCATGATCAAACTGATTAAATCTGCATCACAATGACAGGGGAGCGTGACCTCTGGCAGGGAGGAAACTAACACATTTTATTACACATTTTATGGAGCTACTGTTTCCTGTCCCTCCATAACCATGACAACATGAAAATACTTCAAGAGACTAGTTAGGTAAAAGGCCTGAGGTGAAACCTAACCACACAGGACATACAGCTTGTATTAACTGGCTGCTTGACTTATCTTGTAAGTGTTCCATTTATCATCTTTCAGAATAATGTAATACTCATGGGGAAAAGATTACGGATGTGTTCATTACACAATTCTAACAAAAACATCCTTTTGAAGAGGAGGTACAGATAAGAAAGGTTTAGTTTTCAATGGATCTAAGGAAGCTAGCCAGGATGTTATAGAACCACTAACAAAGTACGTATTCCCTCTTTTATTCTCCCAGAGGTCAGGTCATAATTTTATTTAACACCTCTACCATATAAATTTTAAACTGATATCTAACAACTCTTCACCCTTTAAAGTTGGTACAAGTATTACTTTATGCTGAACTTGGATTAAGCCTTGTAAATCATAAACACAGGAGTTGAAGAATTACTCTTTCCTTAAAAACCTTGAAATAAAGGAACTATTAGTGACCATACTCCCATCAAGCTAAAAAACAGAGGATACAATTATTTTGGGGAGAGGGACAGACATGACACAACAGCAACATTTGCACTAACTTCCCTCTATACTACAAAAGACCTTTTTACAACAGTAGACCATTAGGTTAAAACAAATAAACAGTAGACACAAATGGCTATTAACAAAAGGTAAACAGACTTTGAGAATATCTACAAAGGGCAAGCTTTTATCTACCAGGATCAACTGCTTTAAGATTACTATACCCTGATCATTCTTCCAAGACATAGCAGAGGCATCTGGAAGAGAAGTAACACTGCCCATCTTTGTGGTCAGACAATCAGGAACTGGATGATCCAGATTACATGTCTGGAAAAGATGAAACTGTTAAAAAAATCTGAAGAGTTTACAAACCCCCAATAAAGTCCTTCACTTGCTTCTATTTGAGGAACATATGACATCCAGTAACAGTTATGGAAAGGTGGAACAAGTCTGCAGTTTATTTATAAGTGTCTGTGTAGTAGACCAGGAAGGCAAAACTCCTCTTCTAACAGAGATAGGTATCCTACAACTAAATTTAAAAAATATAATAAATAAATAAATAAAATTTTGCTAGGTTCAACCACTTCCCACAGGTGAGGAAATTTTCAAATTGTAATTTCAATATTTTTTTTCCATAAAGTGTATGAAATAGTTTGGCACATGCTTTAGTTGCCAGGCATGGGACTAATGAAAAGCTGATAAACCTTAAGGGAGCAATCAGATCGCTCTGGCACAGAGCAAGTAAGAAGGGCACATGCACCCACTAAGCACTGCAAATCCACAAATGAACAATAAGCTTTTAGAAGGACAGGAAGATAAACCTGGCAGTCTTACAGAATTCAGTCATTCAAGACCCACACTGGGAATAACATCCACATTTAGGTACACTAAATCCAGACTACCATCTTAACCAAAGTTTGTTGGTTATCAGTTTGAACTATTTAAAATAAAATGAGGAACTGGTCCCATCCAAATAAGCTCAGGTCACCTCCAAAAAATGACCAAGACCTTTCACTACACAAAATAGCAGTGGTTGTGTACAGCAATGTGATCAATAAATTGAGAACATACATAATCTCATACATACACAACTCCCTATTTCCACTGACAGGCAATAAGGCTTATGTTCTTTATTTTGGTAAAGGAATTATTCCTTCCCCTGATTACAATTTTCTAAAAAGCTGGCAGTTGTAGAAGGAAACCAAAAGCCTCTGTTTATTACTTAACTGTCATTTCATGTAGCTCTTCATTGTATATGAAAATGGAACTTCATTAATTACATACTCCAAGCCTGCTCAAATAACATGATAATCATTTTCTAAACAGCTCTTTTCCATACAGGCAGGCCCCCAAACCAGAAAACACTGCCTAACATCCCCCTAGTAGTCTAGATTTACTAAATTAACTGATCCAGATTTACTAGTTACTCCATACTACAATAATAATCCTGTCATTCTCTCTAGAACCATGTGTTTTAAGACCTAGAACTTACCCTCACAATTTGTAGCTCACGGTATCTAGCAATATGAGATTAAGAAATCAATGCAGCATTCTCCATTTACTCAACTGGGCTCTTTGCTTTGACACAAGTTTTTACACTTGCCAACCAAGACTGGACAAAATAAGCTTACTGAGACCTCAGGTAACTAAAACTCTGAAGCAAACTATGCTACAGGGTACTGGTGGGAAAGAGACAGACAGAAGGAGAAGGGGTTGAAAAAAAGGGGCATACATACATTTTCAAGACAGTAAATAACAGAAAGGACCCATTCAGCACTATTTCTGACTGCAATCACATTCAGCTTAATATAACTGCTTACTTCTACATCGTGGGATTTTGTCCTCCACCACTGCATTACTACTCTCTCAATAATCAAATCAATCTAAAAATAATGGCAAGGTGTAATTATTCTTTTTGTGCATAGGGTACAATATTTTATTGACTTGGTCCACCACAGAGCCACACTTCAGAATTACGTATCAGCTGCATGTAAGATGTGGTTTGAAGGCATCAGGCAAGGAACGCCTAAATTAAGAACATCCACAAAGCAAAAGCAACATGAACCTATGACCAGAAAATGTACCAATTTACAGCATTATAAATAAAAAGACACTGTAAGTCAGTCACTGCAAAACATTGCTAAACATAAAACTAAATTGTTAGAGAACTACTTCGACTTGGTAAGAACCCAAAGGAAAAAAACTGTGCTGGTTTAAGTGGCAGAGAGTATTCCCACCTTCAATCCAAAGTCTAACAGTTTTCTTCCTACCCTTTATAGCAGCATGGATTATCACAGCACTCATAACCTCCAGAGGCTGGAGGCTATGGAGAGCAGGTGATCTCCCATAGGGGCAGAGCTGACCAAATCCCAACACTGCTTACTCCTCCCCTTACTTAACTACATTAAAAGGTGCTCTTTTCTCAGCATTTACCTCTTCCACAGTCTTCTGAGCGCGTTTCTCTTCCTTCCACTTACGAGCCATCTCCATATAGATCATCTTCTCCTCCTCATTCAGCAACTTGAAGGCAATAGTTAAAAAAAAAACAGGTTTACTGCTTCCTTCCAGCAGTCCCACTAACAAACTCCAAGTAAGACACTAACTGTGCATTCCCAAAGGACACAATCTTGGTAAGAACTGCCAACACTGACCCATACGCTTCCAGTAACCTCCCCAGCACGGACACGAGGCCTCCTCAGCAGGGACACGAGGCCTCAAGAGGCCTCCCCAGCACGGACACGAGGCCTCCCCAGCACGGACACGAGGCCTCAAGAGGCCTCCCCAGCACGGACACGGGGCCTCAAGGGGCCTCCCCAGCACGGACACGAGGCCTCCCCAGCACGGACACG